ACTAATTTAGAAAGTTTTTAAAAAATTTTAAAGATGTGCAAAGTTCCAAACTTTAGACTGCATGAAGCTGGTATTGAATCAGTAGACTAAAAAAAGCCAAAAGTGTCAAAGTTTTAATACTGCACAGCAGGGCTGCCACAAACGTTGATTATTATAGTYGATTAATCACCGGTTATTTTTTTTTCGATTAGTCGACTAATCGGATCATATGTTAATTGAATATAAAACATACAGCTTATCGCATCAGAATCCAGCTGCTATTATATTACCATGGTTAGATTTTAGCTTTATGCTAACTAAAAATAATTGTCATGGAAGGCAAGTTCTGCCTTGCAGATATTGCATTGCAGAGGTTTCTCTTCCATTTTCTTAAAATGATCCCACACTTTTGAGCTCCGTTGCCGGGTAGCCATGATGAAATAGTATGGGAGTGATTTTTTTAACCATTTCATCATTGTAATTTTATTAATCCACTGCAGGAAAGAAAACAGAGCAACAAAGACAAGTATTTGTGCAGAAATGTTTAAAATGTTTAATTTATCAGTCTGCAGAGAAAAGAATGTTCAGTTTAATGTTTAAATAAAGAGTTGAACAGAAAGTCAGTGGTTTAAGTCAAGAAAGGCTTTTTTAAAGATGCTGGATGAAAAACATCTGCCAAAACATTGAAACATTCAATCAATCTACACCCTAAACTTGTGTATGAAAGTATAAATTCAGTGCAGCAAACACCGAAATACACAGATAAATTATACTAGATCATATATTTTCTTGCCCTTTTACTTTACAAAGCCCAGGATAAAGATGAATGCTTTCTGTGGGTCGCTGTATTTTTTTCTCCCTTGCAGTTTTTTATTTATTTATTTATTTTACAGTCTCAGTATTTTTTCCTGATCCTCACAACACTGAGGAATGAATGAGCTCCAAACGATACCTCAGGTGAGGACAGAAGTCAACACTATCAATGTTGCTGAATGCAGGAGTCAAAAGCTATGACCTTTTATTATCCCCACCACATCATCTCACTAACATTTGGTCCACTGACCTCCTCAATGAAGCCTTGAACCGAATAATAAAAAAGACCAAAAAGAATAAAAAAAAACTATTGAGCCATTTGTCGAGCACAAGCCATTCTTGGTGATTTTTTTTGTATTATTTTCTTGATATAGCTCTATGTTTCTTCCAGTACAAGCCAACAAACTGCATCAGCAGATACAGCTCTCACACGCTCGGCCTCGTAGTATACAACCAGAAACCAATTTCGGCAGGCAGCAATGAAAAAAATAAAACACAAAGAGAATGGGGAGAAAAAAAATCAGGCCAGTCCTCTGGGGAGAGATAGAGGGGCAGAATGTAAACTTCCCTGGCAAACCATCCCCGGTGGATTGAGCTGTAAAAAGAAGCTCTAAAGCTCACTACAGAACAAGATAAACTGAGTGGACAGTTTGCATTACCTGATTAAGTGAATTACATTACAGATTACGCAACGAGTACAAAATACAATTCGTCACACTCAGTGCACTCGTGGAACCGTGTTATCTTTGGATTTTCTTGCACAGTTATGATGTTTATTCAGTTATAATTTGTCACAATTTAAAGACATGCAGTCTGTTTTATTTGTGCTAATGTGAAGTTCTGCTATCTGTGTGCAAAGTCAACAAGCGGCAGCAGTTTCACATTCAACCTAAAAATATTAAAGTGTTACCTGTTGTAGATAGCTCCTTGAACAAAATTCGAATGTAACCTTGAGTGCGGCCAAGACCAAAGTCGTTTGGTGCCATCTTAAGGGGGAGGGGAGAGTGAGTATGCAAAATTAACGTTTGAGCTTTGAAGTGGGAGTGTCCGAAATGGTAGGAGGTTTTTACAGAGACAGAGGCAAATTTCAAGGCATTTAGATAGGCTATGACGCAAATTCTAATTTATTTGTGATGTATACAGCATTTTTATAAACAACTGAACGTACTTGATTGTGGTATATAACTGAACTGGAAAATATATAATTACCCCCACCCCACAAACAACTTCAGTCTCAAAGACTTCATAGAGATTTATGCTACTGCTATTTCAAAACCAAAACTTTGCATTGCATAAGAACTCAAACAAAATATATAAATAAATAAGTTTTTCTGTTGGGGTTGCACTGGTTATGCTACAGCTAGCTGCTGCTAATGATAGTTGTTAGCAAATAAACATACATTTCTATGTGTGTACTGAAAATGTTGCCATTTTATCAAGCAGCATTCCATGAACTTCTGTGAAATGTTTCAAATTTAAGTTGTTTTAAGGTAAAAACAATCCACTTTGGTCCACTCAGACTAGCTGTTAGCTTGTCAACCTGATCAAAACCAACATTTATTTTACAAAACACAGGTCTTTCAAAGAGCTATCAACAACATATTAAATATGATTTGTACCCCACTTTTAAAGGATTTGAACTATCATTTCAACAACAATTTAAAAATGACATTTTTTAAAGAGCTTAAAGAAAAAAAAAGCCTCTTTGATTTCAGGAGGGCTACTAAAACTGGTCCCATCGCTGGGGCTGCAGTTTGAATTATGACTCCAACCATTTCCCTGCTGTAAAGGTTTTAGTGAGCTGTGAACGGTGCAGCACTGCAGTGAAGGTCACTCCAATTAATTATTTTAAGCAGCCATGCATCTCTAAAGACAAAACACAGCCGAGCATTGTTCAGTTAGCCAACCATTACCCCACATGTTCTACAGATCAAGGGTGGAAAAAAAAGTCATTCTTCTCTTTGAAACACATTCGACTTACATTTTTCACGTGTTGCCTGTGAGACATAAATACATGAGGCATTTTTATCCACACTGGCGGCATGCCAGGAAAACTCGGGATACACAGCTGGGAAAAAAAACACACTGTTCCCCTTTGTAACAATGGCACACTTTATTACCCCTTAGCTCACAATGGTTTTCTTTGCAGATTGTGGTTTTGCTGTAGCATCCTGTTATGAGGAACAATCCAATTCTTCTTACATAGCTACACATCAGCCTGAGAATAACAGCCAGCAAATACATCATTCAAGTAATACAGCAGGCAGCCACTTCAGGCTAAATCAATACAAAAGAAAAAAAAACGTAGAGATCTACGAGAATGAGCCAACATATTACACAGAATTAGACATTCAAGATGCTTTAAGGCTACGTTTCTATCTGATCTACTGCTGCTGTAGTATGAATATTTCATTTCTGTAGTCAGCAGCATTGCAGTGGCATATTTCATATTTCTATGCAAAACCACAGAAACATTCATTTGCCTTGATGAATAAGTGATCCCTCTCCCAAACCCTCTACATCCCTCCTCTTATTGTTGGACTGTCAACAACCGACACACGCCGAAAGGCGTCGTGAAATAAACAAAACAAAAAACAAATGAATAGGTGAATGTGTGCCTCTGATTGACTGTGTGCGCATTTGTTTGTGTGTGTATATGTGTGTGTATATGTGTGTGTGTGTGCGTGTCTCTAGTGCCCTGCCAGAATCTAAACCCGTTCTGCTGAGTGGGCAGATTCTCTGGCTGAGTGTCCCATCGGAGTGACAAGTGCATTTAGAAACACCCTGATGGAGTCATTAGCGGCAACGCTGCTCATTAGCGACATAGACACACACATATATATATAAACACCGCATTTACACACACACACACACGCAGCCTCGCAGCAACAACAGTGTTATCCTCAAGTTATTGCTCTGACAACGGTTAAATCTATAAAATCTAGGCGATGCTGCACATTTATAGAAAGCCAAGATGTGGAACATAATACCACTTAAGAAGCAAGCAGACAAATCTATTTACGCAGGCAAGCCATCATACACAACACACACTGACACACACAAATACACACGAGCACGTTCGCATTGTATTGATCACTGGAATAACAACAGAGCATTCATTATTGATCCTCTTGTCCTTTTTGCGTATGAGATTCATGCAACGAYGAGTAATCAAGGGCATTACAGCATCACGCAGAAACACACAGCCGCTGCTCTTTGCTTAGCAGAAAACACAACACTAGTCATCAATAAATCAACATTTTCTACAGRATAAGTYGAGCATTTTTGAGCCTGTACCAGACTCGCTTCCATGTACACTTCAGGGACGAGACTGTCATTAAAAATTCATTTTTAGAAGATTGTGAAGCTAAAATTCTGGCTCCCTGAGGTACATACAAGTGACCTGACAGGAGGTAGTATAATTATGATGGTATTTTTAGCATGTTTGATATGTTCTATTACACCATCTCAAAGAGCATACGGCATTAAATCACTGCCATGTGTGAGGGAGAAAGGCAAGTATGTGAGAAACAGCTTCAAAGTGAACATAATGTTCTTTCTGATTATTAGGCCTAAATGCCAGAGTTTYCTATTTGCATTGGATGAGTCATCTGCAGAGACGTTCGACTTTATGCTGAAACTGATTCATGGCTATAGTTGTAGTGAGAACCCAAGAGCCCCATTCAAGAATCAAGCATTCAGTGGCACTTAATGGCACRGCGTACATGATGAATACGCCAGACAACCATTCAGACGCAAATAGTRATGATCCTTAAAGTTGCTGAGCTGCGCAGACAATTACAACCTGAACTGAARGATAAGAAGGTATCAGAGGTGCTTTAAACTGTAGCCTGATGCAACTCGATTACTTTTAAAGATCGCTCCAAGGTAATTTGTGTGATTTTAGCTAGGGTTTCTTTGTAGTCTCTGTCAGAAAACAGAGCTGTTTCACTGAAATGTGATAATGTATTGGCAAACAGGCAGCCATTACTTCGAGCCTGCCTCTATTAGAGTAATTCTCAGCTCATTATAACGGGAGCTACAGCTACAAACTGATAAATTACTCCAGTCAAGACAACACTTGTTAAACCAAGCAAAGAACAATAAACATAAAGTGATTTACRGTGGAGCACTGAATACAAACACATAAACATTGAAAGGCAGCAAACTTGTGAAATGGGAGTAAATTGGAAATTGCTGATGCTCACCTAGCTGTGCCCGCTCCCTCTGCACATCCTTGAAGTTGAGTCCGCTGGTCAGGGTGCTCTCCCGGTAGCGGTGGAGGGCCTCGCGCCTCCCGTTGGTACCCAGCTCCCGGAGCACGGAGGGTTTGAGGGGCTCCACCTTCAGACCGTTGTCCCATCCTGAGAAGTCTGGTACCGTCCACTTCACCAGGTCCGCCAGCCGCACGATCACTTTTTCTGATACTGCGATTACCTCGTGCTGAAAGGTGGTAGGAAAGAATTCAAAACAAAACATGAGGAGTTAAACTGACAAAGTTATTTTATCAGAAATTAATCATTTACCTCCACTAACAATAAATTATGCTGATGTACTGTTTTCTAGTTCATTCTGGCAGTAAACAAATGTAATGGAAGACAATACAATACTTTATTTTCAATACAAATGAAAATGCTTATTGTGTAATTCAATGTTTCCCCTAAAAATCACTTTCAACATCATTTTTACATTACGCAACATCCTTCCTGAAATGTAAAGTAGACGTTATAGCCCAAGATTACTCACATACAGTAAAAAAAATTTTAAAAAAATAACAGCTTCCTCAAATAAGTGCTGAAAGTAAATTCATCTTAATGTGAATCAATGCAAATATGTGGCCAGCAGAGCCTCAAGAAAGCTTTTAAAGGAGCCAGAAGAGGCAGAATTTCATGTTCATGTTATCATGTACCAGCTTATTTTTTATTGCTTTACAGTCAATATTACTAAAAAAGAATCCACAGCTGGTACTCAGCTTGCCCTCTTACTCGCTTAAATTTCTATTTATAATTAAAACCTATCCACTACCTTACAAGCYGAGGTTTTAACCAAAGACTTTACAAGATCTGTTAGCACTTGAAGTTGGTTTTGGGAATGACTTTCAGCTTCTGCCATGAAACTAATCACCTCAATATCTGTCAAAGTGACTGGGTTATAGTCATATTTTGTGTTTTCATAAGTTGATTAGCTTTGGTAGCTATCCTGAATCAAGTTGCAGGGGCGGAGCCTGAGGGGGGGCCAGGGTGGCAAGGGCCACCCCAGGTTGCCACCCCCAAATAATTGACAAGTTGGTAGGGATCTTCGATGTTGTATTTACATTTGGATTTTGTTAAAGATAATTCCCTTATACTACTGTTCTATATACATAGTACAGTACGTATGGTTTAAAATGACTGAATTATTGACCTTTGCTAAAAYTAGCATTAGCATTAGTGGTTAGCTTGATTTGGGATTAGCATCAACAATCGACATGTTATCATTCTTAGCTAATCCAAAACAAATTTCATCTCAATAAGTGGTTGAATTGATGAATAATAGATATTTAAAATTAGCTGTGGTGGCCATCTTGAGTTTTTCATTAGCATTTAAAATTTGGTAAAGATTGTTGTCAGCTACTTCTACGTTAATCTTCAACCTTGCTTGCCTAAAAATGGCTGGATAATGAATTGTGACTAGCATTCAGAATGTTCTTTTTTTATCATTCTAAGGTACGATCACATAAAATCTCAGCTCAATGTTTCTTAAAACAGCTGAATTAAAGCCATTTGGATTTAAATGTGGGTGTTCCTGCTGAGTACTTTTCTTTATTTGTATGTCCCTTCCTAAAAAAAATTTAAAAAAAACCTTGGCCACCAATTGCAAAAAGGTCTAGCTCTCCCCCTGTCGAGCTGACTCCAAAAGTTAATCAGAGGTACATCACATGATTGAGAGTTTCATTAAAATCCACCAAGTAGTTTATTAGATATTTAGCTCAAAAACAGATTATGAATATAAGATTATCTGTTCAGGGAAGCCCCCTCTTGGTGACACCCCTGGATTTGGCAACAATTATGTATTACAGTATACAATAGAATATATGATAGGATTTCAACTGAATATTAAGTTTTAATGACCTGTTTAGATTATAGAATAATAGAGATCATATGGAATAAAATCTATTTTATTACTATACATGTCAGTAAGACCATAGGGGAAAATATGTGGTGTCAAAAGTTGGCTAAAAACAAGTTCAAAATCAGGATATCATCAGTAAATGGAACACGACAGACAGCCACTATTTATCAACTAAATTAGTATGTGTATCAAGTAGAAATGCGGCTGGTTGTGTATGCACATTAATGTAAGTAAATTACAGCACCATGAATATGGATGATGTGGATGATTGCCGAATTGAATTCATGTCAGGAGTTAAATCAATGTCAATGAGGACGTAGGTGTTTTTTATTTATTTTATATTTTAGACTTTTTGATTAGCATTTAGGAAGTTCAACTCTCAATTTTCACTAAGAATGAGGAGATTTTATGCTTTTTCAAATGACACTCTGCGGCTTTGATTACACCGTCGAAAGAGGAGGAACAGATAAAAAGAAAATTAGTTGCAGCGTGGCTCAAATGAATAAACAGCAAAAACATTCGAGCGAAAAAGTCTTTGATGCACATAAAACTGAAACTATTAATCTAAATCTTTGGCTGACACTGCAGGTATGGCTTTGTATACAAAACTTTAATCTGTTYGGTTCGCTCGCTAAATAAGATTTGCTTTCCCTTTAGCTGAATGCTTTAACTTTTTTTTTCCAGCCTCTTTTAATAACTCTCAAACTCGAAGAACTTCAAGACCGGTGGAGTGGGAAGGAAGCAGAGACGCTTAAATGTGTTTCCATTTGAAGGGCTAATGGCTGAAGTGCTTGTTACCAACAGAATGGAGTGGTTTGCTGTTAGATGGCTATTACAGAAACAGGGAAATCTGGAGGACAGATGTCTACAGGCTGAAACACACCAAGCAGGTCTCTGATGTTTACCTTGGTTATCTCCAATTTACCAGGCATCTGTCTGGCAGCATGTGTTTCCCCTTCAAAGAGCTTGTGCACCGCTGACATTAAAATAACACTCATTATGTTATATTTATGTGTGTAACTAAAGGGTGTGCACACAATAAAGCTACAATTAAAAAGTCTTATTTAATCCAAAAGAACATCTCTGATGCAAATCCCTTCACTTAWAATCTTTAAAATGTTGGGATTAGCCCTTTTTCCCCCTCTGCATTTCTTTATTGCTTTGATTTTTTTTTTTTCAAAGTGTTATTTTTGCAACCGTTCTCTAAAAGCAAACACCCRACTTTTACACATTTCATACTCTGASAGCTCTGTCTATACAATTACTCATATTCAGTTCTCACATCATCTGTAACTACAGGCATATCAAATCCCAACSAGTTGGAGACAGAATTTCCTTATAAAGAAAAAGCCTGCGAGGGATAGCTTGATATAGCTGTGCCTCCCTCACTAAGTAAAAACATCAAACATGGGGTTTTTTGCTCRTCTTATAATGAGCTGTCTTCAGCTGTCAAGTGGTGGCGGGTGGTTGTAACCGGCTTTCYGAAAAACAGACTGCTGTTCCTTCAGAAAAGCAGGGCATTTGAATAATGCAGAACAACAGTAAATAGCATTCAGCCTGCAGCCAAAAGCCACATTGCACTGTTTCTCCACAGAATTATCTTCTTTACTTTCATGCAATCTTGTTGACAACACATGGAAAAAAACACTCCAAAACATTTTAGCTGAGTCCATTTAAGAGGAGAAATACTGTCGAGGTCCTCAAAGAACCAAACGGAGATCTGTCGAAGACTTCAAAAGCACTAAGAACGAGAACACGCACGCCGCCAACCTCAAAACCTTTAAATAACCATCGCTTTTATAYTAACCCGCCGAAAGAAACGCTGATGTGTGAGAGTGTCAACAGACCCTGGTGGGGAACTTGTTTGGCTTGAGAGCAAAACACAACAGGTGAATCTAATTCAGCAGCTGTCAACACGGTCCAGAATATAATCAGTCTATGCAGTGAGCCACAGCTTGGGAGAACCAGCTGCATTAACTTCACAATAAAAAAAAACAAACCCTTGTTTTCCTGACCTTCTTTTAAAATTTACAAGCCTAAATCACAAAGGTTAAACTCCGCAAGKTAGAGCAAATAGATGATTAATGGTTTGTGGTATGTTTAGGTCATCATATTCGGGTTGGGAAACATGTAAATACTAGAGAATTAGGAAATGGGCTGCGTTTCTATGGAACGAGTTTCTGAGAAGAGGCCAGCCAAAGCAGTTATTGAGTAAGAATTACACTAACACTGTTGCATCAACCTGGTTCGCCACCACAGAGAACAATGAAGCSGTGCTCCCACCAGTATTTATTTTTTCCTTATATCAGCACTTAGGTCAAAAGTCAAAAAGATGAAAAATAAAAAAGTATTGTTGAGGTTAGGGATGCTATTCAGTCTACACAGTCTAAACTTATATATATACATATGCTTGCTTCATTTATTTATTTATTTTTCTCTTATATAATTGAAATATCTTGTCACAGCTGTGAGGGATAAATCCTCATTTCTCCCTCCTGCTGTACATCCCACACAGCAAGACCTATAAACAACCATAGTTGTTGTTTTTTTCACACTGGAATCAGAAAAACTTTTTTTTTATTAACTGCAGAGATGAAAAGAAGATGTGGATATTTGCTTGCTCGTAAGTCCATCTTGCTAATTTAACCACCATCTCCTGCTCAGGGAGCACAGCAGATCATTTTCAGCCACATGTGGAAGCTCAAAGTATGGCAGGCTGTTTTTACATTTAATCGGCTTCACCACAATTACATTCCAAGTATCTGAAATTGGTTTATGACTAGACATATTAGTTATTTTTTTGTTATTTAAGTGAGAAATACTGTATAAAAGATCCAACTAATGCAAATTAAATTGCAATTTTTTTCATGTTCTGTCATTTTTACATTTAATACTGGTAATATTTCTGCAGTCGGTCAATATTCTTTATTCAAACGTCTTTAGGGGAAACTGCTCAAAGTCATATTTTCTCAGCTCAGTTCCAGTTTCGACGAAGCAAGCAATTCAAACACAACTTATCGAGAACATAAATAAAAAATCAAACTCATCGTCGTCAACTTTAAGAGCTGTTGGATGATGTTACGACTAACCGCCTCAGCTCTAGACCGACTGTAATTTTCCCGGGATGAATCACTCCAGCAGCGTTCGTTCGGTCCCAGCAGGGGGTCCGTGACTCACTTCTTGGATATGAGGCTTCAAAGATGAGCTTTAGATACTCTGGGCCGTGCCCTTATGTAAATGCCGCCCATCCACACTGTGCTGTCATTTCGTGTTAGGCGCTGGACAGTTTAGTGAAGCGACATACACAGCCAGCGGGCCACTTGATAATATAG